GTGGGAGAACCGTGTGAAGCGCGGGACCCCCGCCTCGGGCATCGCTTGGTGACCACCTCCTCCGCATTCGTAGTATTAATGCTGATTTCTAAATTCGTCGGTTGTGGAGGGACCCCTCCCCCCGTCCCCCGTGACAAGTGTCACGACAGGTCAAGGAGCAGGTGTGTTTGCAGTGCAGGGCTTGCCCTAGGAGACCACCACTCTCTGGGGCTGGCAGTAAGTGCAGAGCAGAGACGTTTCTGGGTTTCTCCCGCATCCACATAGCAGGACATCCCTGCAGTCTTGTTTGGCTGGGTGGGCACTGGGGCCTAAGGATGGGGTGTGGCCCCTCTCCATCCCATAGCTCTTTTTCCCGATGTCCTGAGAGATGCTAGATTCTTAAGGTGTGTGTGTGTGGGGGGGAATGTTGGGGGAGCTCCTCTTCCACCCACCTCATATTCTTTCCCACCAGTGGAGAGACTGATGGGGAGCTTGCCAGAGGGAAACTTAATGGCCCCTTCCCCAGTGTACATAACCATCTCTCCCCATCCTAAATGCTTATCTCAAGTAAAATCTCTGTACAAATGTCATTTCAAGCAAGGCCTCTACCTTTGTCCCCTTTTAAAGTAGCCTTGCTGCTTCTGTCTTGAAATCCTGGATTCTTCCCTTTATTTCCCACTCTATCGCTGAAACACTTGGCCTACTTATCTTCCAATTCTAGATTCCTCAAGAGACCACAGCTAAGCATCATCCTTTGTCCACTGCCAGGTCTCACCTTGGCCCCAGCTGAGAACCCCTCCCGCAGGTAGTGAATGTGTCTCTTCATCTGTATGGCAGCCACCACCCAGCCCCTGGGCTCTTCCCTCTGCTGTCAACCCACTACTGCACTTTCATCTGCGTGGCTCTTGTCACTGTGTGCCTTACCAGATACTTTTGTGCTTAGCCTATCTCCCACGCCGGTTCCTGGGCTCCCACTCTGATCAGCCCCACTGTGTGCAGCCAGCGTCCCTCCGACACAGCAGAATTCCTTCTGACACTTGCCTCTCTGACTGACCCTGGGCTGCTGTAGTCAAATTCTTTTTCTCCTGTGAAGAGACTCTGTTCTGGGAATGGAATAGATGCCCAGACCCCTCCCACTGCAGAGAAACACAATGACTTGGAAGGGCTGATCATGGAGGGAGTGACTTTGCCAAATGTCTGGGACAGCACATTCCCTGCTGTGGAGATGACCAAGGCCTGGCTGCCCATTCTCCAGGTGGGGAATGTTGCATGGGCAGCTAGCTCTCTTCCCTCCATTTCCTGCCTGTGAGTACTTCACAGGCACTAAAGGAAGAGAATGGGAGTTGAGGAGCCCAGAGGTCTGGATTCCATGCTTGGCTTTCCATGAATTTGCTGTGTGAGTTAAAAAGTTGAATGGCTTTTCTTGGTCTTGATTGTTTCTTATGGAATCTAAAATTCCTCAGCATATACAAGACTCTGGGGCATCTGGGTCCTATTTATCCCAACTCTCCTCTCTGACATGTCAGTCCTCACACTCCAGCCTTCTAGATTCCCTTGAGTGCTTCCTGGTCTCTGTGTGCCTTTTTACCTCTTCCCGGCAGGAGGCTGTTTTCCCTGGTCTTGGCTGGAGGCGATCCCTTCCCTCCAGCTTTGCCTTGACCTAATCTGATTTACCGAATGAAATGAGGCTTCTGTTTCCACAGGCTAGACTGTAGCTTCCAGATGGTCAGGGCTAAATCCTGTTTCTCAGTCCCTAGTGCTTCACACCCAGTAGGCACTTAGGAAAAATATTGTCTTGATGGGGAGAGAGTGACTGGTAAAGAGCCCTCCTTTGTTATAGTTCACGTTGGCCCCAATGTCCAGGGGCCTGTTTACCTACCAGGCAGATTTCCTAAACAGCCCACTGGTCAAGGCTTCCCATCATAATCTTTAAGAGGAGCCAGCCATGAAGTATGTGTAGTTATATGTAGAGATCAGTGGGAAGTATCTGTTGCTTGAGATCGCTGCCTTGTTGCTTTGGGAAGAGCCCAGGAGCCATGTGCTCCTGTGTGAAAGGGCAATGATAGACACCTGAGCAGCTCCATTTGCCACCGGCAGGGGAGGCTGATGTTGATGACCAGGCAGGCCACCCAAGGGAGCCATCAGGTATTAACAGGCCAGTTCTTAGCTTTGTGCACAGTAACTCTGAAACTGCTTCATAGTACCCCAGCCTCTAGGCCCCCAACAACTAGGTGGTCTTTGCACAGCTTCTCTTTAGGTTGTGTGGTTGATGTTTATTAAACTTTTGCTGAATACTCAGGTTGTTTTTCAATAGAGCCAGGGCAGATTCTTATCTGATTTGTTCTAAAACTTAATGTTAGGTATTGACAGCTTCTTACAGTGTTTCACATGGAAAATAAAGTGTGTAGTTCTTTTTATTTTTCTTTTCTTTCTTTTCTTTTTCTTTTTGGTTCTTCCAGACAGGGTTTCTCTGTACTGTTTTGGAGGCTGTCCTGGAACTCACTCTGTAGACCAGGCTGGCCTCGAACTCACAGAGATCGACCTGCCTCTGCCTCCCGGAGTGCTGGGATTAAAGGCGTGCGCCACCAACGCCCGGCGGTGTAGTTCTTTTTCAAAGATGTATTTAAGTTATTTCATGTGTATGGGTGTTTTGCCTGCATGCATATCTGTTTGCTGTATGCATGCCCTGTGCCCACTGAGGCCAGAAGAGAATGTTGAATCCCCTGGAACTAAAGTTATAGATGGTTTTGAGCTACCATGTGGGTGCTGGGAATTGAACCTGGGTCTCTGGAAGAGCAGACAGTGCTCTTAACTGCTGAACCATCTTTCTAACCCCTGTGGATTTGTTTGTTTTTGTTTCTTTAGAATTTATGGACAGTACACTTTGTCTTCCCTGGGAAACTAGGCTGCTTTTTTGTTGATAACAAGGAGAGTGGGTAAAGCAGTATTGTACTGTTTATATCCTCTGCACCACACTATATACACAGGGCTCACACACAAACTGCACACTACCTGCTATTCTCCCCCAATTTTCCCAGAGAAAGAAATTGAGAAATAGAGAGATCAGTTGATTTGATCAGATTATGTCTGAATTTGTATCATCTGGCTTTGTTCTTGCTTTTTCTCTTCTTGGCCAGAGACTTGCAAAGTAAGTTGGACTGGCTGGCCTAGTGAGCCCTAGAGCTTCCCACTGTCTCTGCCTCTCCAGTGCTGGCATTACAAGCATATACCACCAAGCTTGGCTTTTTATATGGGATCTGGAGATTAAACATAGGTCCTTATATGTACATGGAAAACTGTAAGCCAAGTGGGCTATCTCTAACCCCCTGTTTTTATTTTGTTTTCTGGAGACAAATTCTTACTGTGTAGCCTGGGCTGATCTCAAAATCCTCTTGCTCCAGCCTACTAAACGCTGGGATTAAAGGTTTGCACCATCACATCTGCATTATCTATAGTCTTTTTTTTGTTTGTTTGCCTATTCATTTTTTTGTTTTTTTGAGACAGAGTTTCTCTCTGTGTTGTCCTGGCTCTTCTGGAATTTGATTTGTAGACAGCCTGGGCTTGAACTCACAGAGATCTGCCTGCTTCTGCCTCCCGAGTGCTGGGATTGAAAGCATGTGCCATCACTGCCTGACACATATTTATATTTATCTATATTTTATATGAGTCATCACAATAAGTTTCTCCAAAACAGTGGACAGGTATGAATTGAATATAAGTAACATTTCACCTAATGCTTATGCTGACTCACAGTGTGGTTAGAAGTCCTCAGGATGACTTCCAGGAAGAATGGAATTTGAAGATTTTTTTTTTTTTTGAGAAATGAAAGATTTACTTAGGCTTATAGTTTAGAGGATTCATTCCATTCTGGTAGGAAAGGTGGGGGGAACAGAGAGGTCCTGTCACGGTGGGCCAGGAACAGAGAGGGAATAATGGTTAGGCAGAATTTTGACCAGCCATAGCAGTGATAAAGATACATAGGTCTTTGTTTAAACTGTGGAAGTTACCATGACCCACCTGAGCAGGGTTTCTGGGGCAGGGAGGTGGATATTGCTCCGAAACCTGCTTGGGGAGGCTGGTGAAAACTTCATTTGACAGTGTTGGAGTTGGGTTAGGGGCTGCTGTTAGGATTGAGAGGCAGGGGATGTTGGAAAGAACTGATTTGCCCCAAGGCTACACTGCCAGCCTAGAGCCAAGGTCCTCAAGGCCACACTGCCAGCCTAGAGCCAAGGTCCCCAAGGCCACACTGCCAGCATAGAGCCAAGGTCTTCAAGGCCACACTGTCAACCTAGAGCCAAGGTCCCCAAGGCCACACTGCCAGCCTAGAGCCAAGGTCCCCAAGGCCACACTGCCAACCTAGAGCCAAGGTCCCTGTTTGCCAGTGAGTCAGTCTGCAGTAGAACTTACACTGCTTCTTTTGGCTGTAATGAGTATAAGGTGCTGATGTCCTTAGGCCCAGCCCAGTAAACACTGA